TGGACTGTGGGAGGAAGCTGGAGCACCTGGAGGAAACCCACGCTGACACGGGGAGAACATGTCAGAGCACCTGGAGGAAACCCACGCTGACACAGGGAGAACATGTCAGAGCACCTGGAGGAAACCCACGCTGACACGGGGAGAACATGTCAGAGCACCTGGAGGAAACAGCAAATTTAAACCACTTGTTTTACAGTTACAATGAATCTATAAAGCATATTTTATAAGCAGACCTCATATTTTGTATGTAAATCAGGCTGTCAGATTACTGTAGTGGAGTAAACAGGACAATATTTGCCTCTGACATGTCGAGGAGTAGACGTCTAAAGTAAAGTGAAAGTCCATTAGTATACTTAGAAATTCTGATGTTCATCTCAGCTCTGTCTCTTTCTGTCTCTTCCTTGGTTTTACAGATTTGTTGTTTTCATGTTCACTCTGTCAGACATGTTCCTCCTACACCTGTCAGGTGTGTCAGAGAGAGAACACTGTACTTCCTCTAATTATAAATGCGTGAACACAAATTTATTCTGTACAAACCACCGAATCTCACTGTCTCACTTCCACTTCCTGTTTTCATGATTGGCAGCAGAGTGAAGCGTTCACAGCAGCTCAGTGCAGCATCAGCAGCTCTCTGGTAAGTTTCTCTCATCTTTAATCCAACTCTGACTGAAAGTCACACAGTAAATCAAGACAAGACGAATTTAGACCAGTTCATCACTTTTAGATAAACTGCTGTCAGAGAGGAGAAATAGTGGCTGTGTTTAATTCCCCACGAGAAATAATAGTTCATGTGTTGCCTAGTTTTCCTTTTGTGCACGGATGTGTCCAGAAGTTAACTTTTTAAATTGTTTATAATATCTTATTACAGGGTTTCCACATGTTTTTGTGCATAAGTGACTCATTGCAAGAACATTTTTTGTATGTCCACTAAAGGTGTTACGTCCACCAACAGTGTATGTTTTTGCCACTGACAGGCTCATATTGTTATTCCAAGTATCTGAGAACATTATGGAAATGATCCCTACAGAGATAGAGCTTTTTGTTTAAGCAGAAACAATCCCAAAATGCCCATCACCAAACCCACCAGACTCCATTTAAATAAACAGTAATTTTGTAATCATAAAACACACTTTATTCAAAGTCAGCAGAAACAAAATAAAACCAGCAAAGCTGTCTTGCTTTGTTTTTCCACTGTTTCAACAATCACCAGTTCTGGTTTGGTTGAAATGAACTTTTAATCCACCCAGTTAGATGTGACAACATGCTGCCTCTATACACACTTAAATTACTGTTTATTTAAATGGAGTCTGGTGGATGATTCCTGGGCTGTTTCTGATTAAACAAAAAGGATCTTACCCTTTAACAAAAAGGTCTATCTCTGTAGGGATCCTTTCAGACATTTAGATTAACACTCTGAGCTTGTCAGTGACAAAAACATACACTGTTGGTGGACGTACAGTGACAGTGTGAACATGTCCCAAGTGGTTACAATGCAGCCAGTTGTGCCTCTGCCGGCTGCAGCGCTCTTTCTCTGGACCTGTTTCAAAAATTGTTGTTCCCATCAGTCACTTCAAGGGTGTTTTCACATATAGTCTTTTTTAAACAAACCCAACTCAGTCCTCCTAAAGTGCACCAAAAAGTGGACCAACAGAAAGGGACTCAGTTCTTTTTGTGTTCACATTGTCAGTTCATTTAAAAGAGGACTCAGTTCTCGCTCTGGTCAACTTCAGCTCTGATGGCGCCTTAGTCCTCTTCCTGTTCACACTATGTATAATATATATTGACATAGTTTTGTTTTTACTCTGACGTGGTGCTGCAGTGTGGTTATGAAGCCGCTCACTCTCAGATGAACTTAAAACTGGTGGAAACCTGAGTGTGTCTGTGCTGTAGACTGCTGCGTCCTTGCAAGCGTTACAGGCCAACGTGGTTTCGTCTGTTTTTTCAAGCGTCCCAGGTCAACAGCATGTGATCTAGAGGGCTGAATACAACGGCAAAGAGCAAAGTGAACCTGGAGCGCTTTGTGTTCACAAGGCACAGGTTAGGTGAACCGCACTGAACTCAGATCAACTTCCAAAGTGGTCTGAGTTCGGTTCGCTTCAGAGGGGTCTGAGTTCTCTCGGAGTGTTCACATAAGTGCAAAAAATGCTGAGTCACCACTCTGAGTCTGTTTCAGTCTGCGCTGAAAAGGACCAAAACACCCTTAGACACAAAAACATGTGAAAAGGTGTCCAGGCTGGAAAACACCAAAGTTAACTTTTAATCTGCATACAGTATAAAAAACTGCTCAACATACTTCTTAAATAAATACTACCGGAAAATACTGTTCATAGTCTCTTTGTGTAACTTTTAGTAAGTAAGTACAGTAAGTAGTTAGTATAATAAGTATAAGCACATTTTAGTTTACTGGTAATATGTCAAGTATTAAATGTAAGTGTCACATTTTCCCAATCGCTAGTAAAAAAAATATTGCAATTGTCCATTTCTGCAAACCACAGATATGTTATATTTGTACATTATTATGTAGTGAATATGTTGAAACTTTCAGCAATGCTGTGGTTAATATGTGGTTAGGTTTAGGCACAAAAACCACTCGGTTATGATTAGGCAAAGGCAAAAAAACCAGCCTCTTTTTCTAGAACTATCCCAGCTGCAAAAAGAGTGAAGGGCCACTAAAAAACACCCACAGGTGCCTAAAAAGTTGCTGGAAAAGCAGCAATTGCTCGCTGGGCTCGCAGGGCTGATGTTGTTATTTGTCCTTCCTGTTCTCTGGTTGATTATTTATTGATAAATTGATCTCTGGTGTTCGATCAGCGCACTTCAGGTCGTCGATACGGACAAGATGTGGAGCTCTGTGTGGAGCTCGGCGCTGCCCCTGCTGGTCAGTCTGAGTCCTGCAGTTCTGTTCCTGCTGCAGCTTCCTGACTACACTGCCACACAGGAAGGACACTGGCAGGACTACAAATATGGCCACCATGGCTCAGAGCTGCACAACAGCAAACGTTTCTGCACCTGGAAATGTGTCCTGTTCACCCTGCAGTGGCCCGGAGCATTCTGTCAGGTGAGCATCACCACCATCATCATCATCATCATCATCATCATCATCATCATCATCATCAAAACAGTTTCATACAATGTGCCGAAGCTGCTGTTAAACAAAGTGGAGGCATCCTAATTAGTTTTTCAGAGGCAAGAAAGAGGAGGTAGGAAAGAGATGGTAGGGAAGGAAATTAGGATGTAACAAAGGAAGTGAGGTTGTAGGAAAGGGGGGGTAAGGAAGCGAGTAATGAGGTAAAGAAGCAGAGAATGTTGTATTAAAGGCGAGAAAGAGGTACAAAAGGAAAAGATCAGGTAATTTAAGAGAGGAGGAGGCAGGGAAAAAAAACAGGAGATATAAGGCAATGAGGAGGAAATGAGGAGGTAGGGAAGGAAGGGAGGAAGTAATGGAGGAAATGAGATGGTAAGGAAGGAAAGGAGGAAGCACAAAAGAAATGACAGGGCAGCGATGGAAGTTAGGATGTAGAGAAGGAGTGGGGGAGGTAAGGAAGGGAGTTATGGGGTAGAGCAGGTGATAAGGTTGTATTAAAGGATAGAAGACGATACAAAAGAAAAGATTAGGTAGTTAAAGGGAAGGAAGGAAGGAAGGAAGGAAGGATGCAAAAAGAAAACAGGAGAAAGTGAAAGGAATGAGGAGGTAGGGAAGGAAGGGAGGAGATTAACGGAAGAAATAAGGTGGTAAGGAAGGAAGAGAGAAGGTATAGAAGTACAAGTGAGAGGTTGTAAAGGAATGATGTTGTAGAGAAGGAAATGAGGAGACAGTGAAGGGAGTGAGAAGGAAATTAGGAGGTAGGTAAGGAAATGAAGAGGTAGTAAAGAAAAGGAGGAGCTAAGAAAGAAAAGATGATTAATGAAGGAAAGGAGGCGGTAGAGGAGGAAATGAGTAGATAATAAAGGAAAGAAGGAAAGGAAAATAGGAGAGTGAAGGAAGTGAGAAGGAAATGAGGAATTATCAGAGGGAATGTGTTGGTAAGCAAGGAAATGAGGAGATAGTGAAGGAAAGATGAGGGTAAGGAGGGAAATGATGAGGTAGGGAAGAAAAAGAGGAAGTACAGAAGGACAAAAGGGAAGGTTGTGAAAGGAAAGAAGACAATAAGGAAGGAAATGTGCCGATAGTGAAGGAAAGGAAGAGAGGGAAATGAGGATGAAGTGAAGGAAGTAGGGAATGGAAGAGAAGATGCTGAAATGTGGTCCTTTAAATTCTGTTAACATGTCTCGTAACTGCAGAGGATGTCCAACATGGCTGCCGGGGGGCAGATAGTGTCGCACATACAGGTCTGTTAACACGCTGTCTGTCTGTCTGTCTGTCTGTCTGTCTGTCTGTCCCTCTGTCTGTCTGTCTATTCCCCCACAGTCTTTGGACCAGGAGACTCTGTGCATGATTCCTCCGAGTGTAAACAACTGGACGATCCACGGTCTGTGGTAAATATGTCCCACACATCCATCAGCTATTTAGTTTGCTCCTCCCTTCAACCTCTCGCCCAAATATGGTCACTTCTGGCTCCAAAAAACCAAGATGGCAGCCATCAAAATGCCAAACTTGAGGCTTCAAAACAGGAGTCCACGAACCAGTGGGTGACATCACAGTAGCTACATCCATTTTTGTTACAGTTTATGAGGACTGACTCGTTCTTGGAGCCAGCCTCAAGTGGACGTTAGAGGAACTGCAATTTTTTCACTTTAGCTTTGGCTTCATTTTTCATCCCGTAGGTCACCGCTCAGTTATGACACTGTAAGTTCATGTAGAAGACGTGCCCTAAACACGTCATGACTGCCTCACTTGTCGTTTCTATCTGGCCATCAGCCTGTTCAGCTGTTTTAAAACATGACTGAGGATAAGAATTTAGAGTCTCAAAGTTACAGAGAAACTGACAGCTTTATTACACTGACTCGCTCCTCAGCTGCAGGAGTGAACACACTGGGAACTGAAGTTGGCCTGAAGCAGTACTGATGAATGAGATGAGTTCAATACAAGTCCCTCAGGCATTTTTTCCTCTATTAGCTGTTTTCCTGTGAAATCCTGACTTAACTGTTGTCAGCCTTTCAAATCAAACCGTTTATTCCTGCAGCTGCTGATCTCTGACCTCCCTGCTCATGACAGGAAACTCCTTTAAAGTCTTGTGTTGTTGTTATGGTTTCATAATGTCCTCCTGTCTTTGTGTCTGCAGGCCTTTTAAGGTGTTTCATTGCTGCAACTGCTGGCCAATGTTCCAGTCTGACGTCCAGGTGAGTCCCAGTCAGATCAACTCACCTGGTTACGTGAGACCAACGTCAGAGAATTGGTTCTGACTTGGTAATGGTCCCTGTCTTCCAGGAGCTGGAGGCAGAGCTGACTGAACACTGGCCGTCCTTACTGAAAACTAAACCCAGCTTCCACTTCTGGTACCGCACATCACCAAAATACACGTCCTCCTGCTAAAAATACTCACCACAGCACCAAATGTGGATTAATACGCAGCCAAAAACAGCCCCCAACAAATGCACTGTGTCCTCCTGTTTGTTCACTGGTTTTCTTTTTCAATGTGATATTTTCTTCTGTGATAACACACTTTGTATGTCAAACAGTTATACCGGCATTGATCTGTCAGTGTGTTTGTGAAACAGGAGAGAGGAGTGGGAGAAACACGGTGTGTGTGCAGCATGTGTTGAAGGAATGAACTCTCCCATGAGATACTTCCAAATCTGCCTCAAACTACGACAACAGTTTGATATCCACAAGTTAGCTGACACACAAAAACAATCTACGATTCATGCAGAAAGATGGTGACTGTGACATTAAAGTTTTTGGTGTCCTCCCTGCAGGATGCTGGAGGACGCTGGTATCACTCCATCCTGTGAACGACCCTACAAGGTGACAGCACACACTTTCACAGTTCAAATCTGTATGATGTGACTTTGTTAATACAGGTTTAAACATAGATAGCCCACTGAAAAAAGTGGGAAAAAAAGTCAACTATGACGTCAAAACAGTGAAAAAGAAGTCAAGTATAGCATGTCGAAAAAAAGTCATAGTGTAATATGTCGAAAAAAGTCATGGTATAGCATGTCGTCCAAAATCATGAGAAAATATCATACTATAGTATGTCGAAAAAATGTCACAGAGTAACATTTTGAAAAAAGTTATGGTATAGTATGTCAAACAAAATGAAACAAAGTCATAGTCATGCTATGTCGTCCAAAATCATGAAAAAACGTCATAGTATAATATGTTGAAAAAACTTGATGAAAAAGCCATAGCATAGCATGTTGAAAAAAAGTTGTAGAATTCCATGTAGAAAAAAATTATAGTACAGTATGTCCAAAAAAGTCATGGTATAGCATGCTGTCCAAAATCATTAAAAAACATCATAGTATAGTATGTCGAAAAAAGAGTGAAAAAAAGTCATGGTATAATCATGCTATACCATGACTTTTTTTTCACTTTTTTCGACACATTGTATTATGACTTTCTTTCATTTTGTTTAGACATACTATACTATAACTTTTTTTCATGATGTTGGACGACATGCTATACTGTGACTTTTTTTCCCACTTTTTTCAACATGTTATACTATTTCATTTTTCTCAACATACTTTATTATGATTTTCTTTCATCATTTTGGACAACATGCTATACTATGACTTTTTTTCGTGATTTTGGACGACATGCTATACTATGACTTTCTTTCGTGATTTTGGACGACATGCTATACTAT